GATTATTCCTTTGAGCAGAATGAAGTAGCCCTCTTTATGTCTTCTGATTAGTTTTAGTTTGAAGTCTATTTTGTCAAATATTAGAATTTCAATGTCTGTTTTTTTCTTAGTACCATTTGCTTGGTATAATTTTTTCAGTCCTTTCATCTTAAGGTAGTGTCTGTCCTTGAAAGTGAGATGAGTTTCTTGCAGACAACAAAAAGATGGGTTTTGTTTCTTAACCCATTCACCTAGTCTGTGTCTTTTGACTTGGGAGTTCAGTCCTTTAATAGTTAAAGTCATTAGTTATAGTCGTTAAAGTTATTAATGAAAGATGAGTATTGAATCCTGTCATTTTTATTTCTTACATTCTTGCTATAGCTGTACTTTGACACTGTTATACCCTCATTGGAGTTCTTTCTGCAATCCCTTGGGTATATTCATTCCTTTCTTCAGCTCTTTGTGTTGCTTCCAGAACTCTCTGAAGGGCTCGTTTTATGGACATGAATTTCTTCAGCCTATTTATGTCATGGAAGATTTTCTTTCCCCTTTGACTATAATAGACATTTTGGCTGGGTATAGTAATCTGGAAATACTTTGGTCCAGGCTCTTCTGGCTTTCATAGTTTGCACTGAAAAGTCAGCTGTAATCCTAATGGGTTTTCCTTTATATGTGACTTGTTGTTTCTCTTTTGAAGCTTTCAATATTGTCTCTTTGTTTTGTACGTTTAGTGTTTTTACTATGCTGTGCCATGGAGAGTTTCTTTTCTGGTCCTGTCTGTTTGGTATTCTATATGCTTCTTGTATTTGTATGGGCATGTCTTTCTATAATTTTGGGAAATTTTCTTCCACAATTCCATTGACAATCTGGTCTATGTCATTATCTTGGGATTCTTTTCCTTCCTGTATGTCTATGATTCATAAATTTGGAATTTTTATGGTGTCACACAACTCCTGCATATTCCATTCTTGTGTTTTCTTAAATTTTTCACAATCTTTGTTTGAATGGTATAGTTCTTCCATTTTATCTTCCAGCCTTTCTCCTGTTGTTTCTAGTCGGCTTACTGAGTGTTTCACTTCCTTCTTCATTTCAGCCTGAGTATTCTTCAATATTTCTAACTCTTTTCTGAATTCATTCAGAAGCTGATCCCCATCTTCCTTCAGTTCTTTGATTTCTTTTTATGTTCTTTAAATTCACTCACTGAATTATTTTATCATGTTTATAATTGTTCTTTTGAGTTCCATGTCCTGCATTATCTCTAGGGTATTCTCATTGTGCTCCTCTAGAGAACTATTGGTATTTGGTGGGGATATGTCATTTGGTTTTTCATGTTATTATTTTTTTTCTGTGACTTTGACATGTGACTTTCTTTTGTAGTTTCTGATTCTTGTTTGAGACTCAGGCCTTCAAGTTTAGGTCTGCTTCTTTTGTGGTTTACTTTTGAGGCATGAAAAACTGCTTCATCTAAGCTTCTGGGTCTCTCCTTTGATTTTCTATTGGAGTGGCCAGATTGCTTTTGTCTTCAGGAGTTCCCACAGAGGCTCAATTCAGATGAGGAGGAGATGCTCTCAGGTTTTCTCCTAAGGTCTCGGTCCCTCCAGGAAAGATTTTGGCCTCAGGAATTTGGGGGTTGGACTGGGCTGGGAGCCTGGCCCAGGAAAGATGCTGGCGTAGGGCAGCTGGTGGCCTTGCCACCCTTTGGGGGTTGGACTGGCCTGGGATCCTGGTCCAGGAAAGATGCTGGTCTAGGGCAGCTGGTGGCTGTGCCCCCCAGAGATGCAAAGGAAGATGGGGCAGCAAGCAGCCCTAAGGGCCCCTGGGGACTGCAGTGAGGAGCTGGGTTGGTCTGGATGCAAAGGATCAGGAAGAAGAAAGGTCAGCCCCAGCGTCCCAGAAAGAGGCTGGCTGGTTTTGCAGGCCCAGGGAAGTAGAGGGAGGTGAGGGCGGGGCCAGGCCCAGAGTGCTCCTGGAGACCCCAGAAGGAACTGAGTTGGTCTGGATGCAAAGGATCAGTGGTGGTTCCCCCAGTGTCTGGGGTGCCAAGAGAAGGAATGGGACAGGACCCAGGGTAGGAGGAGAGAACTGCGGGGGAGATGGGAGGGTGAATTAGGCTGGGGGAGTCAAGGCACAGAGGGCCGATCAACTTACTCTGGGTCGGAGAGAGGCCTGTGGGTCGAGCAGTCCCAGGGAAGCAGAGGGATGTGAGGGTTCTCCCATTTTTAATCATTTGTAGCCATATGGTCTCAATCAGGGATGCCAAAAGGCTTCCAAAATATTGTGACAGGAAAGACTCTACAGTAGGAGTCATATCCATTGCTCAGCTTCCTCTCTTAGACTAGGGAAGGGCTATGTGTTCTGAGGCATGGGACTATCTACTCCTCCACTCCAGCTTCATCTCCTCATCCATGCAGGGGGCACAGGGGATACCCACCAAAGACAATAGAGAAGCAATGATGTTGGGAACAGCTAGGCCTGTGAACCAAGAGCCAGCCTCCATAAATGCCAGCTAATTGGTTCTCCGAGCACCCTGGTTGGGAACAGGTTTTGAGCTCTGCCCTGTCTACTGTGGAATTTACCACCTTATCTTTAGTCTGAGCCTATCTGCTCAGCCTCAAAGGTTTGCTGGTGTTCCTAGGGTAGACAGGCTCTGGTCAGTAGGGGAACAGTCAGCAGTCCAATGAAGGTTCCCTCTGTCATGCTGAGGTGGCTATCTCATCCCTCAGAGGTCACAGAAGGAAAAGAGGCTGTCTACCCTTTGGAATGTCCTTCATCTTCCATATTCAAGCCTTTGCACACAGTAGGCAAAACCTGGCTCTGTCTGAAGCCATGGAAGATAGCCCTCCAGCCTCTCAGAACATGGCAAGGCTTTTAAGGGTAAACGAAGTGGCAGTCAGTGTCCTCTGTGTTAGTTACTTTTAAGTCACTGTGACCAAAATACCTGACAACAACTTGAGGGTGGATGATTTATTCTGAGTCCCTGTTTCAGAGGTTCAGTCCCTGGTTTCTTGGCCCCTTGCACTCAGGCAGAACATCATATGGAGGGAGTATGTGGCAGAGGCTGTTCACTTCTGGACAGACAAGATGCAGGAAGAGGAGGAAGAAAAGGAAGAAGAGGAGAAATAGGATGAGAAGAGAGACAGAGACAGACATTGACTGGGGTTCTGGCATAACTGTCAAAGGCACACCAGCAGTGACCTACTTCCTCCAGCTATGCCCTGCCTCCAAAAGTTTCCACAACCTCCCAAAATAGTACCACCATCTGGGGACCAAACCTTTCAAACATGAGCCTATGGGGGAACATTTTATACTCAAATGATACACTTCTTCCAAGGCCATCATGCCAACTTAGGGAGCGAGGTGGCACCCTGACCACCAGGAACAGACCACATGTTGTTGCCAACCACAGGAATTACACAGTGGTGAACACAGAGAAGGGCCTTCTGGAAGTGCAGAGGATGACCTGTGCTGGGATGAAGCTGAGCTGCCAACTCAAGGTCCAGAGCTCAGTGTGGACAGCCACCGAGGTAACCGAGGGGTCGGTAGTAGGGTGGGCTCCACAGGGTTATGCCTCTCTCAGGAGGACCTGATTTATAAAATTACAAGATGCCAAAGTCAGCTTGACTGTCAGGTACCTTAGCTCATCCCTGAACAATCCCTAGAGCAGGGTCATTAGCCCTATGAGGCAGCAGCAGGTCACCAAGGAAACTGGTGCTGACTCCTGCCTGACACCAGCCTACAGCTGAGATTCAGGGTGGTGAGGACAGGTGGAGCCTCTCAGAAGGAAATTCAGTGTGTTGAAGGCACTCAGGGTTTCCCATAACACTGAGATTCACAAGGTGCATCTCAGCTCAGAAGACCTTTTGGTTCTACATTGGGAAATCACTGGAAGGCCCAAGGATCTATCATCTGAGAAATTCAAAGAATGACTCATATCTGATACTCTGAAGTTCCAGGTAGGGAGGGGATTGCTGCAGTCTGCAGTCTTCCTACATGACTGCTTAGAAATATAGCTAAAAGCATATGAGTGATCCCAAAAAATACGTGTGCTACTGAGGTCTCAAAATTAAGAATATGTTCTAAGAGAACAACACACACACACACACACACACACACACGAGAGAGAGAGAGAGAGAGAGAGAGAGAACACCTACACCTATCCCAATATAATTCTTAGTAGTGACAACAGATTCACCAAATTATAATACAACATTAATGAAGAGAGGAGTTATCTCCATATCCACCATAGAGCAAGGGGCTCTGCCTATGGTGTACTGTCACTGTATTGTGACCCTACTTTGTTAGTACCATGCTCATACATACCCACAGCAAGCTTGTGAGAGATCATATCCTCCTCAATTCCAAGGACTATCTGAAACTTAACTTTTCTTACAGACTATTCCGTATGTTTTCAAAGTTTCTACAAAAAACAAAATACCAGAAATAAATAACCAAACAGAATGCCACCTTCTTAAAGTACAAAGGGGATCCCCTAGGCTGAATGCATCCAGTAGGGCATGCCAGTCACTTCCTTCCCTGGGTCTCACAGTTGACTCATCTGCCTTTTCAGGATCAAAAAATCTACATCTATAGCCTCAAGGGCATGTGCCCATTAAGCATGCCCCAGCGGGCCCTGGACACACCAGCCATTGTCACCTGCTTCTTGGCAGTGCCCATTATTAAAAAGGTGAGATGGGAAGAGATGAATGTGCAGATCTGTCATCCTGCATGGGAGGGGTCCTTGCTGTGTTGAACTGGAGCCACACCTTCTTGGGCCACCTTGCCCAGGTCACAAGCCTCTTTCAAAACACAGGTGGCCATCATTAGCACAGAGTAGCTACTGTCCACAAGTAAATGCTGGAGCCCCTGACTCAGGTGAGGTTCATGTTGGTGCAAATGCTGAAGCCATCTGTGGCACATGGAAACATTCTCCTGACATAGGGAGCCTCTCCCCTGCCCACCACAGTCCAGTGCTCTCCTGAACAGTGGGGGGCTGGCTTTCCTTCTTACAAAGATTACCCATCCCAGACCTCAGTCATCCACACAGCATGGCCCCACAGACTCACCTCCCTAACTTCCCAACCCAAATCACTCAGTGTCTTCCCCAGGCTATCTGACTCCACCACACCTTAGGACTGGACCCAGCCTCGTTAGGACTGGTGAGGCCATGCCTACACTGACTCTAGGCCTTCTCCTCACAGCAGTAGATGCAGAGTCCTCACTATCCCAGCCTGGCCCAGAAGCAGCCCTCCTAGAGAGCTGTCAGGATCCAGGGCCATGACCCCTCCTCCAAGAAGTCATTGGTGGGAAGCATTGTCGGCCTTTGCTGCCCTCCCAGAATCTAGACTCCCTGAGGGGCCTGTCAAAGCAGCAGATGCTCTCCACCAGTGCACAAAGAGCACTTTCTGGTCTGCTTGTTAATCTGTGCTGTCCTCATCCCATGATAATAATAATGTAATTGATCTCCAGGCCCTACAGAACCCAGAACCCTAGGATGGGGCACTTGGAAACTGAACATGGTTCTGACTTCCTGTTAATCTTGAAATCTCTCTTCACCCTGCTTCAGTTTCATTTCTTAAAAAAAAGGGGGGGGGATACAAAGCAGGTATGAAAGAAGCTGAGAGTCATTTATGACCGTTGCCCCAGGAGCAGGGCTGGGCAGCTGGGATCTGCTTGTACCAACGTGCGGGAGAGTTGGACACAAAGCGTTATTGAAGGACTGGGACAGCCAGAGCCCCAGCCAGGGCACACCTCCTGCCTGAGCAAGGAGAATAAAGCAGGCTCTGTGTGAGCCTCTTGTACAGGGTGCCTGCCCTCTCAGAGGTCGTCCTGCAGAGGCCACACAGGGCAGACCCCTATGTTCTTGCACAAGCACGCTTACACCCAGCCGAACATGGTGTTCCCCATGCTGGCCTGCAGAGCCAGGGTCCAGAGAGACTTTCAGCTTGTTTGCCTTGGCTGCTTTCTTGACCTAAATCCCGAAGATGGACTTTGAGAAACTTTCTTAGAGTTTCTTGCTCTGGCTGTTGAGAGGCCACTTACTCCATTACCCTGGATGCCCCCCAACAAAGTAGCTTTCTGCCATTTTCCCTGGCTAGAGCAAGGCTGGGATCCTGTTCTGTCCTGACTCCAGCTTTGCTCTGCAGAGCTTTCCATACTCCACCACACTGTTCCCACTCTACACTGAAAGAGTAGAAGCCTGCAGTGGGCTCAGTACCTGGCTTTGTCACTGTGACTTTAGCCTCTGCCCAGTGATCTCTGGTGGGTGAAAGCAGAGAAAAACATGTTTCATGGTAGGCAGAGCAAGGGCCATGCCAAATCCCCATTAGTGTCAGCTATGCCATAGGCCTTTCTGAAGGACATTCCTGCAGAAGAGAGTTAAGTTGGAAGCTATTTCTTCCAGAACTACTTCAATGAACACATGTTGTCCACTTGATGGGAACAGTGGAATCCAGGGCCACAGAGATGAATGAGACTTAAGGTTTTCCTATGCCAGGCCAGTGCCACGGGGACAGTAGTCACAGAGACCTGGCCTCTGCTTTTCTGGAGCATTCCACCTAGTGTGGACAATGGACAGAACCCCCTGATGCCTACAGGTGCTGTCTTGTTAACAAGCTGTTTATAGGAGGGAGGGCACTCTTCCCTGCCTTTCGGTGAGCCCTTTGGTGGCCTCCAGGAAAAGGCAGCACTCATGCAGCAAGAGACCAGTCCCAAGCAGCCTGCACCCTTGTTGATACACTGGCCACTGTGGACACAACTCCTCCCTGGCACATCCCTTGCCTTGCAGCAGGGGCTGGGCATAGCTTTGCTGGGGCAAGGCTATACATCCTGTGGGTACACACCTACATACTCCTGCTAGTAGCCCAAGCTTTCTAAGGCTTTGCATCTTTGGGGTTTTAGGAGAAATCACATGGTCACTGGGGTGCATACAGAGAGAGTCTGGTGTCTTTGGTGTCTCTCCTGGATTATGCGACATGAAAATGTATCAAGTATCCCTGTCTCCTCCCCGACAGAACTCCTTTGTGGTGCTGGCAGGCCTGGCTGACGGACTTGTGGCTGTGTATCCTGTGATACGGGGAACCCCAAAAGAAAGCTGCTCTTACCTGTGCTCACACACAGCCAACAGGTCTAAGTTCGGCATCCCGGATGACGACTCACGGCAGAACCCTTACCCAGTGAAGGCCATGGAGGTGGTCAACAGTGGGTCTGAGGTCTGGTACAGCAATGGGCCGGGCCTTCTCATCATTGACTGCCTAGCCCTGGATATCAGCAGGCGGCTGGAGCCCTACACAGCCCCCTCCATAGTCACCTCAGTTGTGTGCAGTTCAGACTGCAAAGGGGAGGAGGTGGTATGGTGTCTAGATGACAAGACCAATTCCTTGGTGATGTACCATTCAGCCACCTATCAGTTGTGTGCCCGATACTTCTGTGGGGACCCCAGTCCCCTCAGGGACATGTTTCCTGTGAAACCCCTGGGCCCAGAAGCCCCAGACACGCACATAACTACCCCAAAGGAGCCTGAGGAGGAATGCATTGCAGATGTGACCATCATGTACAGCGAGGAGCTGGGCACGCAGATCCTAACACACCAGGACTCAGTCACTGACTACTGCTCTATGTCTTCCTACTCTTCATCCCCACCTCACCGAGATCCCAGGTCCCCTTCCAGCCTGCCCAGTTCCCCAACCAGCTATTCCAGTGTGCCTTTCTCCACTGATTACGAGCCCAGTGTCACCTCTGACAGGTCTGATCATGACCTGACCCCCATGGATGGGGATACATTCAACCAACACCTGCAGGCAGTGAAGGTCCTTGCTGTTAAAGATCTCATTTGGGTCCCCAGGTAAGTTTCCTGATAAGGGAGTGCCATTCTGGGCTATGCATTGCTCTAGCTTTGGGACTGGAGTGAGTGGAACCCATGGCTCCATTAAAGATTCATCCAGAGCCCCAGTGCAAGTTCTTTCAAGAAGATTTGTCCCTTGGTTTTAGAGGTCAGAATGATTGCTCCAGCAAGTCTAAGAATGGACACACAGAAGCTCATCTACCCACCAGAGCACTCAAGGTGTCATAAAAAGAGAGCCCCACTCAATGTGGTCTGTTTCCTACAAAGCAGGTCCTTTGCCGTATCACACTGTAAATCGTCATAACTTACTCCCTTAACAGAAACTACAAGCTCCTTACTCACCAGTCAGATCTTTCTGCTCACTGGCCCTACTCCCCTTGGAGCGTATAGACATCTGGACAAACCCCTTCTCTTCTTGGTTTTTGTTTCTTAGGCGTGGTGGAGATATTATTATTATTGGTGTGGAGAAGAATTCGAGTGCCCAGCGGGGCCGAGTCATTGCTGTATTAAAAGCACGAGAGCTGACTCCACATGGGTAAGCTATGAGAACCATTCTATAGGGCCTGGTGTGCGAGAGGTCATAGGGAGCCTCAGGCCCCACCAACATATCCACCAGATAACACAACAGCCCTGCTGCCCTTGTGTTCTCACAAAGAAGCATCGGGATCTACTAATGTAGCAATAAGGCAAAGCAGAAGCAAGGTGGGGTCCTCCAGGCAGCTCCTGGGGCTCACATGCCAGCTGAATTGAACATCAGCCTCTAGCCATTTCTAGGGGGCCCAGTGCTCCTATAGATGAAGTACCCTGCAGAAGTGTGTCTCCAGGACCAGATTCAGCTGCAAGTGAAATGGGGGTCCCTCCACATGATTCACTGTGCTCCCTGACAAGCGTTACCCCTTACTCATGAAGCACCGGGTAGCGCCAGGTGACACAAGCACACTCCACTACAGCCTGGGAGTGTGACTCCATACCAGACTGCAGTAGGTGACATAAGAAGACCCTCCAGTCCCCATGGGAGGATGTCCGGATGGGATGTCAGCCCAGGGCACAGTCTGTGTGACCCGGAAGACACAAGCTTTGTGCTGGACCATAGTTCCTGACAGAGTGTATCTGCCACTCTGAAGCCCAACATGGCAAATCTTCTCATGAAAATCCCTTAATTTAAATGCATGTGCACTGTGACTCATTACTTTATACTGACCTGTTGGCAGTGTGTGAGTCGTCCTTCAGGCAAGGATTTATGTTTCATCTAGAATGTAATTACATAGTCTCATTCTGCCCGATTTCTCAGAGTTGGACAATTAGTGATAAGGAGTCACTGATGTCATTTGTCTGACAACACTGACCTTTCTCAGTGAATACTGGGGCCAGTGGATCTTCTGTGGGTGGTTCTGGAAACATAATCGAGGCTTGCTCCTAAGCTCTGGCTGACCTTGTGGAAGGTTGCTTTGAGCTGAAATAGTTTACCTTGGCATGCCTACTCAAAGTGGCCCTTAATCTTTCCCTGGTGCTATTTTTCCCAAACCCAAGAGCAAGGTTTTACTAAGAGCCAGGCACACTTACTAGAAGGAGAGAGGCCTGAGGTGACTAGCTAAAAGGCAAGGAGAGATCAGAGGCCCCTGGACATCCTGGTGACAGGGAGTCTTAGTGCCTAGCAGGGCACATTCACTGGGCATAGGAGGAGGAGTTACAGATGATGTGTGCTGGGAGATGAGCCACCAGCCCCACAGAAACACCACCAGGGCAGGGAGGCCGCAGGAGCCACCCACTGTTGTCTGAAAAGAAACATACCTACTCACAGAGCTTGCAAAACAGTTCACAGCCTCAAAACAATGTACACAGTGATGGCTTTGGGGAACAGATTTTCTACCTAACATTGTACTCTGAATTTCCTAAGAAGACAGAATGAGAGAAGAACCACACTGGACTTGCAATAGGAACACCGGCAAGTGTGTGTGTGTGTGTATGTGTCTGTGTGTGTGTGTGTGTGTGTGTGTGTGTGTGTGTGACAGTATGAGTGTGGAGCTCAGGGGACATCTTTGTGGAGCTGGAGCTCCTTCTCTCCTTCTCCCTTTGCATGGATTCCAGGGACTGAACTCGGGCCATCAAGCTTGCATTGTCTGGAGGCAAGTGCCTTTACCTGCTCAGCCCTCTCACTGGCCCTCATGGACCATTCTTGAGCAGGAAATCAGTCAATGGTATTCTTTAGACATTTCAGTATCTAGAGAGAGGCCTGGAAGATGCCTGCTCTGCATGCATCAGAGGCCTTCCAGGGGGTCAGTCTCATACAGTGTCTACGAATGTGAAGCCGATGCCCTCGACCTTTTCTGGTACTTTATAAAGCCATAGCCCCAAGGCTGGACCACTAAAGAGAAGCAGGACCTCCAAGCACATCCCAGAGCCAGGCTAAGCTGCTTATGCTTATGTACCCTCTTAGTAGCTCTGTTCTCCTAAAGATGTTCGTGCTGAGGGTCTCTACCCTGACCCAGTGAGGATTCCTATGGGTGTTCTCAGAATCCTTCTCTCTGCAGGGTACTAATGGATGCAGCAGTGGTGGCAAAGGATACGGTGGTGTGCGGCTTTGCAAATGAAAACACAGAGTGGTGCCTGGCTGTCTGGAGGGGCTGGGGCACCAGGGAGTTTGACATCTTCTACCAATCGTATGAAGAGCTGGGCCGGCTGGAAGCTTGTACACGCAAGAGAAGGTAATAGCTGTGGAAGGGCCTGTGTGGAGCCAGCAGGCCCATTGCTGCTGCCTGACCCCTCCACTACAGCTCTCCAAGGGCTTAGAAGACAATGGAGTTCTCTCCCAAACCTGTGCTGCTAAGAAGAGATGAGAAGCTATTGGCCTGGTAGTGTTTGGGGAGTTCTCAGGTTCTGTAGAGCAGTTAGCTGACTAGCTGCTCCTCTTATTGCTGATTTTACAGCCCAAGGAAAACTACAAGGTCTTATTGAGAGAGGCCTCCTCCTACCTCCTCCATGGGATTCCAGGAGCGGGGGAAGGTGACCCCCATTCTAGGACTTCTTGGCATAATGAAGGGGCCCATCCATTTTCATCTTCAGGCCTCAGATGGAATTACACTAGAGACTCTCACTTAAGGAGCAGTTCAGGGAAGGGTGGGAAGAGGGCTGTGACCCTTGGCCCTCCTCTCCCGAAGACCCCAGGCTCTCAGCCCATATCACAAGGCCTTGAGCCCCTGGAGTGTGGGGCCCAGCTTGGGCAAGCTGAGATCAAATGTCTGCTGCTTGGCAAAGGCTCTGTGTGGGAAACCCCCAGAAGGACCCTGGGCAAGGAGCATTGCCCAATAATGGGGATGAATGGGCTCCTTTAAGAGCCACCACCGGAAAGCCCAGTACAAGGGCGCCTGTTCCCTTTACATTCTTCTCCACCAACAAAAGGAAGGAGAAACCCAATCAGTGGGCCTGGAGAAAGGGCCTGTGTTTATAGCTTGCTAAAATAAACTTAGACACAGCTGGAGCACAAGCCCTGTTTGTTTGCATATCATAATCTTGTTTATCACTTTAACAAATTAAGTACTATCTCAGTGGTTAGTCCTGGTTGTGAAATCCCATCGTATAGGACTTATACTGAATTATGTATTTGCTAAACATTTACTGCCCACATGGACAGCAGATGATGAAAAGTGAAATTGTTAACAGGGTATATGGGTACAACAGGGAACATTTTATAAATTATGTGCACACACGTGTACACACATCTACATCTTTGCCAAGAGTCACTCTTGGAGACTGCTTAACCTAGAACTCAAATTTGAACATGAGGTTGAGGTTGTACTTAGCTCGTGTTGTTGAACCTTTTCTGGAATTAAATTATAAAAGCCAAACTTAAGATTTGCGGGGATGTGCAGACAGATGCAACTCCTTTTATCTGAAAATAAACAGACTCTCAAGAATGAAACCGTGGCCTGTCTCTTCAGTGCTTATGTCGGAGCAGTCTCTGCCCTTCCCAGGCCCCCTTACTGCCTGGGGTGGGCATGGGCCACCCTTCTCAGTCCACTAATAGGAACTTCATGCTGCCCTGTAGCAGTTCCTATGGGCAGAGACATTGCATTGTCAGCCCCAAGCCTGTAGTAAGCTACGTTCTACTCCCAATCAGGTCCTGAGTCCTGGAAGACCAAGTCTCTGTGCCTGCTTCCCATATCACCCTGCTTCCACCCTGATCCCTAGCAGATCCCTGGGAATTGCCAGTTCTCTTCTATCATCCCAAAGCTGCCCTGTTAGACCCCCAAACACAAACTAAGTTCTATCTGTTCCAAAGCCTGGGTCATCTGCAACCAGACTACTTTGCTGATAACCAGGTCCTTCACCATGCAGATCCAATCCACCTTGGCCACCTGGCTTTCACCTGTGCAGGGACACAGCCCTGGGTCCAAGCCATGTGAGGGGAGTTGGGGAGGACAGCCTTCACGGTACTGCCAGAAACCAGGAGGGCACTGGGGAATGAGTTCAACTACAGAAGAGTTAGAAGTCTAAATGGAAAGAGCTCACAAAGGTGGACAGTAACTGGGTAAAAATCTTCATGGGGCCAGCAAAATGGCTCAGCAGGTAACCTCACTGCCAAACCTGACATACCCAAATTTGATCCCCAGGATCTACATGGTGGAAGGAGAGAACTGACTCCCACAAGTTGTACACACACCACCACCACCACCATCTTAATAAATTAACAAATGCAATTCTAAAACATTCACAACTTCAAAACACAAATAAGAGATAAGAAGTTCACTTACCTTATATGTGGAATTCCTCAATAAGAGAAAAATACAATAATAACCAAAAAAAAGATGAAAGGCATGGGCAGGCCACTGAGTTATAAAAACACATCCCTAGATGTGATAAAATGGCATTTACTACCCTTGCATTGCAAAAATTGATGATTCTTGAACACTTGCTAAACACTAGGCACTGTCACCAGTACACAATGATAATGCCCCAGGCAAGAATCTCTGCTGCTGGAACCACCAATCTAATGAACAGGAGTGAAAATGAACATATAAGCAAAATAGAGAGCGTCTAGAAAATGCAATTCAGGAAATTGCATTTGATGGACTGGGGTTGGGAAAGGTCTGGGTGGGGTGGTACCAGGTAGAAGGGCTTACATGTGCAAAGTCCCTCTGGTGAAGGAGCTGGTGATAACTGATGTTGCTGGAGCTTTTTGATGAATGGAGCACCCAGGGCCCACCTAGCACAGAATTACAGGTCTCCTTCACAGCTACTGAGGATTTGAAGCAGTGCAATTAGATTATCTTTAAAAACATTGACTGTTGGGTCGGGAACAGGCCAAAGAGGTAAAAGGCATTTGGGCCATATCTATCAAACTTTCACACGTGTCTCCCCGTGACCTAATGTATCACTTAGGTACATGATCCTGCAATATCTGTGAAAGCGGCCCAAAGGTTCAGAAGAAAGATGCTCATCACACTGTTCATCATGCCCCAAGCAGAAAACAACGCAAGCTTCTCTTGGAAGGGACATCATAAAGTTCTTGTACCTGAAAAATTGATTCTATACAACCTGTGTGTGTGTCTGTCTGTCTGTGGGGGGGGCGGGGGCACATGTGTGTGTTTGATGTGGTGGTGATCCAGCTGAAAGAACATTTCCCCTGATGTTCCTTGGCCATGGTCTTCAGAACAATGGGGGAGTCCTCTCTGTCCTGTCTCCTCTGGAGGCCTCTGACCCTGTGGAGGGTATCAGGTTCCAGGGAAAAGTCAGCTCCTCTAACAATCCTGTCATAGCCATCTGACCTCCATAGTTCTGAGCTATAATCAGCTGACTTTGGTATGCTGACACAGAGCCCCAAATGAGGGAGACAAGCACAGAAAGGGGACAGGTAAGAGGGGCTAGGGTTGGTCGGCCAGGGTCAGTTGGTCTGGACCTGGAGCTCTCAGGTCCTAGCATCATGGACCAGATGCAGGGCCCATATGTAGGGTCAGACCTCCTTTGGCCAGCAGAGGACACTTAGGCCACTTCCTACTTTGCTTTGCACCTAGGGAAGCAACAGCTTTTCTGATGATAGTTCATTGGCTAAGCTGCTACCACCTCCCCAGTCCCTAACTGCTTAGACCTGCAGTTCTTTGTGACAACATTACCCAGGGCCCTCAGCAGACCCCACCTCCCTGTACTCTGGCACAGTGCTTCCAGGGTGGGAACATATGCTTCTGCTGGCTCCTTCCTTATACAGAAGCATTTGGGAAGCTCCATAGGGGATGTGACCACATAAAACTTCAAAGCTCTGGAAAGCTACACTTCTTGGTCTCCAGTGGTAAGTCAGTGGTGGGGAGAGGTATTGTCACTAGGACTGGCAAATCACAGTAGAGAACCCTGGTGCTCCATAGCGCTAGCCTGGAAACTGCAGCATGAGTTGGGCATAGCTTTGCTCCTGAATCTGGGGAGACGACCCAGAGCACCCAGAAGACCCACCATGGGAATATGTCAATAGGAAGAAGTATAGCTTATGGTTGGGGCCACAGGAATTTGCGGTTTCCTTGCTACCTGTCCAGGGGTATGAACAGTCAGTTATCTCAGACGGTCCTGAGACAGGGCCCTGCCTGTACTCTCTTACCTACAGCCTGGCAACGGAGTCTGGACTTGACCTATCCAGCAGATGCTTAGAAGATATATTGCCACGATGCTAGCAAAGTAGGTCAGGATGTCATGAGCATGCTCCACACTGAGAGACAACCAGCCCACAACAACATTCCAAACAAAAATACAGGGGCTAGAGCTTCCCAGGACTTCCAGACACCATCTGCACTCCTGGTGCAGAAAAGACTCTCACCTCAATGCCTGAGCTCTGTGTCATTCACTCTGAAGGAGCAGGCAGCAGCCCCGTCCCAAGACAACTGGGAACATCCAAACCCCATGAAATCTGGTCTCTCCTCCTGGGGTCAAGAACGGTTGCTGCAGCTGTAGGACGGATCAGACTCCCTGGGAGACTTACAAACCAGTGGGAAGGCTGGCGCCTTAGAAGGAGGAAGATGGGACTCTGAGGCTTCAGCATCTAGGACAATTTGTCCAGTGAAGTCAACTGGAGAGCAAGTCAGCTCTCTGTGTCTATAGGATTAAAGGCTTAATCAACCTCAAAAAAAAATTTGGAAAAATGTGGAAAGGTGCTGAACATGCATACATTTTTATTTCTTGTCATTATTCCTCAAACAGTACAGCATAGCAACTATTTACCAAGTATCTCCACTGTATTAACTATAAGTCACATCAAGGTAATTTGAAGTAGATAAGGAGACGTGCTCAAGTTCTATGCAAATGCCATTTTTTTTTGGTCTTTTTTGAGTGGCTTCAGCATCCACAGACATCCTGGTGTCCACAGGTGGTCTTGGGGCCAATTCCCTGTGGATGCCAAGGGATGATCATATTTTCTTGAGTAACTGTTATTGCATGATAGGCTGTTTCTCAGGATGCTCAAAGCACTAATGATAGTCTGATTTTTAAATTTTTTTAATTTTATGTGTATGAGTATATTGCCTGCATGTATGTAAGTGTGCCCATGTCATACAGTACCCACAGAGTTCAGAAGAGGTTGTCAGATCCCCTGGAACTGGAGTTACAGATGTTGTTAGCCTCCATGTGGGTACTAAGAACCAAACCCTGGTTCTCTACAACAGCAACCAGTATTCTTAACCACTGAGCCATCTCTCCAGACCCTAGTCTGTTATTTTAGACTTTGATTTTAGTTAAATGTTGACAAGTATGATTTAATTACAATTTTAAATCAATGCTTAATGGAGGGAGTTATGTATTTGCTATGTAAGTAGTATGTATTATTTAGAGACAGGTTTGTTTTTCCCTATTTCATAGATTTATCATCCTCATGCACAGAGCATCAAAGTGAACCATGACACATCATTCCACAGCCAGGCACTAAAGAATGATGTGTTCATCGAAGATGTAGAGATGGAGGCAGTTCTTGTTCTCTAGCTGAAGTGTTATGATGTGTGCATCTCTTTGACCTAGGGGCCAGAAAGATCCAGAGGACAGCATTCTACTCCTGCCTCCTCTGAAGGGTACACATATCCCACTGCCAAGCTGGAACCCCAGCCCCTGTCCCCTTGGAGCCCAGAGGACGCAGGAAAGGGCTGAGGGTCAAAAAGAAGGCCCATCCTATGATTGTCAGTCACCTCTGGAAGGCACAGACAACCCCACCATCCCCGAAAGAAGGCCCATACAAGTGCCTCACTGGGTACATAAACAAAATCCTATGATTGTCAGTCACCTCTGGAAGGCACAGACAACCCCACCATCCCCCAAATCTGGAAGCTCCAGGGCTTCCTTCAGCATCCCTGGCAACTTTCACAAGGAGACCTAGACCAGAAGCCCCATGTTTAGGTGTGGTGGTGCACACCTTTAATTCCAGCACTCGGGAGACAGAGGCAGGCAGATATCTATGAGTCTGAGGTCAGCCTGGACTACAGAGAGAGTTCTAGGCCTGCCAGGGCTGCATAGTGAGACCCTGTCTTTAAAATTTTTGTACTTGAGCCTCTGGGGTGAAGGAAAGTCATTTCTGATGTTCTTAGGATAGCTATCACTCTCTGTAACCCACAGGAAGCTTGGCCTGTGGTCATATTCCAAGGCACTAGGGTAAGAGCTTCAGCATGTGGATCCTGAGAGGACACAGTTCAGGCCACAATGCCCTCCTTGTTCCAAAGGTTCCATGGTGCCATCTATGGAGCACAAAACCCAGTCATCTAAAGGAAAGAAAGGTACTCACAGTATACTAAATGAGTCCTTGGGAGTTCATGTTGATTAGAAATACACAAATAGTGTCTTTCATTTACAAATGTATAGATGGAGACAGGCATGGTGGCACATGCCTTTAATCCCAGCACTCAAAAGGCAGACGCAGGTGGATCTCTGTGAATTCAAGACCAGCCTGGTCTACATAGT